TTTTTCTGCAGTTTCATACCAGAGCTCTGAGCAGTCATACTCCTCTCTTACATACAATGCAACTCCCCCACCTTTTCTGGTGATTTGTAGTAGCTAATACTGTTATGCCATCATATAATGTTGGAACATGTTAATGGCTGCTATCAAGTGGGTCTTTGATCTTGTTAAAGCGTACAGGTGAGGTAACCACCCTTCAGGCTAAATGAAAGGAGCAAGTAAGCTACTTTATGGAGTGAGATAATTGGAGACAATAGAAGATATCGCCCAAGGCAATCAGACACGTGGCAAAACCTGAGCAGGGCTAAGCCATGTGGGCTGAGAGGGTTCCCTAGGACTGGTTGCAAATCCAGGAATAGAGGATTGCTTGGCAAACTGTTTGTGTAGGTTAGAAGTAGAAAGCCAGCAGAAAATGAGAGCAGCTGTCATGGACACAGCCCTCACAGGGACCAGAGCCAGAGATCCTGGGGGCACAGGACTGGCTGGAAAGGCAGGATTGGAAACTGTGAGCAAGGAAACTGCCCGCTGTTGTTTGTTTCACTCTGTTCAGGGAAACCGGACTTTTTCTACATTCTTTACAAATAAACAGGATCACTCCAAAGAATATATCTGGCTCGCATAAGCAATTTCTGCCCCTAACAGAAACAACCCAGCCAGGCCCTGAATATTGGCTGATTGCTTGGGCCAAAGGGACAACAACATTTTAACCGACTCACGGGGCTTTTCACCTTAAAAAATCCCAGAGTGCTTTGGGCAGCCATCTGCTGCAAATGGCCTGGAACCAAACCATCAGAGCCAAACATCCCGGAAACGTGGGGTGTTTGAAATCTGAACCCAGGTCCAGATGGCCCTTCTCTTGACAAGCGAATGCAAAGCCTGGATGTGAAAAACCCCAGGGGTGTTTTAAATTGTTGTGCAGATTTTGGTTTTGTCTACACAGCAGGTGTCAGAGCCCCGGTCTGCAGACTCCAGCGCTCAAGGCTCGCGCTACCAGCACTAAGAACAGACGTGTAGGTATTCAGGCTTGGGCTGGCTCTTGGGCTCTGAAGCCTAGGGAGGGGGATGGGCATCTACATCGCTGTTTTTAGTGCTGGAGCCCGAGTCTGTAGATCTGGGCTCTGGGGCTTGCTGCCGCGGACTGTGTAGACGGACCCTTTGTGACCTGGTGGCCCCATCCCTACTGCACCCATTCGGCCCCATTGAAATGCAGCCACCTCTGGGGAGGGAGAGTGGCAATCAGCTGGCGCACAGCTATGGAAAGAGGGGAAAATTTGGCCAGTGGTGCTGGAGCTAATCTCTACAGTCCTCAAGAGTAGCAGGCGCTCACCACAGAGAGCGGACAGGCTTCCTCTGCAAGACCTTCAAACAGCTGGTCTCACGGAACTCAATTAAATCTACCAGGAAAGGCTCACGGTCTCGTCTGACCCACTGGGAGCCCATGCTAAGATCACTCAACTGGGTCTAACCACTTTTCTTGGGATTTACAGGTTTCGTTGAAGTATGATTTTTCTAGCGACCCTCTTACCAGTATAGAAGTCACTGAAGAAGACCTGAGTATTGATGTCGGGCATCAGCTTACAGTTCCAGCAGCTGTAGGACAATCTACTAAGGTAACAATAAGTTGAGACGGTTTAGTAGGATTCATTCTTCGCATTTGGGGTTAATGGGTAGCTCCTAGGTTTCTTAGCCGTTACTAGGCTGTCTTCTCTAGGCTATGTTCATGTTCTTGCACAGTGCCCATCACCCATGGTAATCTGAACACCTTCCAAAGATAAAGTCAGAGGTTAGCATCTGTTTCTCCATGTGACTAGTATTTTCAAAAGAGCCCAGTGTTGGTCTAACTTTTTTCCCTCTGAAGTCAATGGTACAAATCTACTTGACTTCACTGGAAGCAGAGTTTGGCTGAATGCAGAGAACACTGGTACATTTCATCCTTTGGTGTTGCCAGTTCCTGATGTGACGGGTTGGATCACAGAAACCCCCTGGGGGCTGCCAACCGATGTGCCAAGACTACTTCTGCCCCTGCTTTCCCTGCCAGTTTGGGACTCCAGAGCCCTGCCTGGTTGTGCCAGACATGCTTGCCAGCCACAATCACAGACCCAGGTCTGAATCACGTCCTACAAACTGCAAGCTTAACTGAAAGCAGCTTAAGAAGTGTTCCTGTCTTTAACACTCAGATGCCCAGCTCCCAGTGGGGTCCAAACCCCAAATAAGTCTGTTTTACCCTGTATAAAGCTTATACAGGGTAAACTCATAAATTGTTCGCCCTCTATAACACTGATAGAGAGATATGCACACCTGTTTGCCCCCGCCCCCCCCCAAGGTATTAATACATACTCAGGGTTAAATAATAAGTAAAAAGTGATTTTATTAAATACAGAAAGTAGGATTTAAGTGGTTCCAAGTAGTAACAGACAGAACAAAGTGAATTACCAAGCAAAATAAAATAAAACATGCAAGCCTATGCCTAATAAAGTAAGAAAACTGAATACAGATAAAACCTCTCCCTCAGAAGTGTTCCAGTAAGCTTCCTTTTACAGACTAGTCTCCTTCTCGTCTGGGTTCAGCAATCACTCACACCCCCTGTAGTTACTGTCCTTTGTTCCAGTTTCTTTCAGGTATCCTTGGGGTGGAGAGGCTATCTCTTGAGCCAGCTGAAGACAAAATGGAGGGGTCTCCCAGGGGCTTAAATAGACTTTCCCTTGTGGGTGGAAACCCTCCCCTCCCCCTGTGTAGAATCCCAGCTACAAGATGGAGTTTTGGAGTCACATGGGCAAGTCACATGTCCATGCATGACTCAAAACTTACAGGAGGCAGCCATGGTTCACATGCTACCTTGAACGGCCTCAAGTAGACTTCTTATGTGGATTGGAGCCTTCCAAGATCCATTGCCCCTTAAGTGTTTCTTGATTGGGCACTTAACTTGCAAATTCCTTTCTAAAGAAGCTGACCAAATGCCTTACTAAGGCTATTTAAAATCAAACAAGTGTACAGTCAATATTCATAACTTCGAATACAACAGTGACACACGCATACAAATAGGATGAGTACATTCAGTAGATCATAACCTTTACAGAGATACGTTACATGGCATATACAGCATAAAGCATATCCCAGTTATGTCATATATACATTCATAAGCATAGTCCCATACAGCATTATGGGGTGCAACGTCACACCTGAATCCATTGTGGGGCTTTTCTAATTTTCTCTGGATGAAAGGTTTGCGGCAGCTCATTATCTGCGTACCCCCCCACCCCATTCCATGAGCAGCTCGGTGGCAGGGAGTGATGCTTCTAACTGTGTTGCTATTTGAAACCCAGATACCAGTGGCTTTGTCTTCATTTGTCGTTGGTTGTTTCATAAAATGACTGGCAGAAGGGTGGTCCATTGGTTACGATGCTAGCTGGAGACTCAGGTTCAGTTCCTGCTCTTCTGCAGACTTCTGGTATGGCCTTTGCCAAGTCACTTTGGAACAGATTTGTAAAGGTATTTAGGCATTGCTGCACTCAGTGCCTAACTGATTTAGAAACCTAAATCTCATTGAAAGTCAATGGGACTTAGGCTTCTAAGTCAGTTAGGCATTGAAATGTTGGGCAAAGCAACATCGAAATACATTTAAAAATCTGGGTCTTAGCCTCCCTTTGTTTCAGTTCCTCATCTGTAAATCGGGGCTCATCGCATTTTCCAGCACTGCCAGGGTAAGATAAATGCATGAAAGGTTGTGAAGTACTCCGATACCCAGTATCTCCTGGAGACACTTGCCCAGGATCGCTTAAAATGGAGTGAAGTCCTACGTGATGGTCCCCTGCATTTTGAACTTGCTCGCCGACAAGCTGAAGAGGACAAGAGGCGTAGAAGGAAGGCGAGACTGGCTTCCAATCATGGTCAATAGCCGCCTGCTGAGACTGAAAACATCTGCCCTCATTCCAATAGAACTTGTGGTTCAAGAATTGGCCTTATCAGCCACCTGAGGACCCATAACTCCCATGGAAGATGATCATACTCAGTAACGAGTGATCGCCCATCATCATCATCATCACTCAGATACCACGTTGGTATCCGAGCTAGATAGCATTAAAGTGATCGCAGCATGGGATTATTAGCATTTCTGTAGCACACAACATCAAAGCGCTTCGCAAAGGTGGATGAGTAGCATTATCCCCATCTCACTGAATGGGGAAACGTCAGTTCAGAGAACTGAAGTGACTCACACAAGATCACACAACAGACCTAATAGAATAGAATCCAGGTCTCCTAGTTTCAGGCCCGTGGACCCATGTGAATGCAGCTCTTTGGAAGACGCCGGTTAGCAGGAAACCTCTAGTCACACACAGACATTTTTTTCCGCTGTGCCTCTTCAGCCCCCTTTCCCTGTTTCGTTAGGATGTAACAGGTCAGAAGAAACCTCTGGTTGATGGGACAACAGCCATCAGTCCTGGTGACTACACCGAGATGGAAGTAATGGTAAACCAGATGCGCTCATGTCAGAGACAGCCGGAGGCTGAGAAACGGGAAGGCCATCCTAGAGCTCTGAATGCAACTTGGCTACAAACTAGCCAAGAAGAGCCCACTGCAGGGCGACAACATACTGCTGAAAATACCTCTCTTGAGTGCCAAGAGGTGGATGGGTCGGTAATAAGGAAGAAGGAAGAGGTAACATTGAAAATCCCCTTGCACGCTTAGCAGCTTATATTTGATTTGTATGCCCAAGCTAGACCTGTTTGTTGTTGAGCATCTCATACACCAGGTCAGACCCAACAAAGGTGCTTCTGTGGAATTTATAAACAGACATTCTCTGTCTGAGGGTATCTTCCCATTAACCCCAAATGAGACCAAAATGTCTCTGAATATTGCTTCTGATGCTCATTGAGGTGCCCACCTCAAAGCCCCGTTATAAAGCAAAAGGATTGGTCAAGCAACCAAAGGAAATGGGCCTACTTGTCCATAGCTTTCTGGAGACACCAACCTCACAGCCTGCTTCCTTTTAAAGGCCTCATGTGTGGAGAGGGTGACGTTTATATAATTTCTTTATTTCCCAGAATGCCATGCCCCAAGCTGGGACTACAACATGGCAGCCAAGAGAGACTACATTTCCCAGCCATCCTGCTGTCTTGGATCTCAAGTATCCCTGACCCTGACCACTCCCTTTCTCTTTCTGCCAGGGGAGTTCCAGCCCACCCTACTCCTGAGACTCCAGGCTTGGGCCTTAAAGCTGGGATCAGCTGCATGAGCCGTGTCATAAATTTCAGACTGTTTCCCCAGTTAATTCCTCCCCCTCAGCGACTGGGCCCCCTGACCGAGGGGAATTTTTAAGTGGCAAACATGGGACAATGTAGTGTTGGCCCAAGAGCACTCCCATGGAAGTCTCAAAGGGCCTATTTAGTCCATTGCACCCACTGAGGACTGTGTAGCCTACAGGAAACCCGTCACCCACCACCACAGAGAGATTCCGGTCATGGTCTGTGCTGGGATTTTAAAAATTAAATCAGATTTGCAATGAGGTGCAGCCCTAGACACGGACATTCTCCTTTTCAGCACCAGCAAACATGCCCTGCTTCAAATACTGTCCCAATCCTCGCCAAGAGAGATCGGCCCTGAGTGCTCTAGTGCCGAGAGGGCAGTTCAGTCTCTATGCCCACTCCTCTCTTGGCCTCCGTTGAGAGTGGGTGCTAGCTGCCATGTGGATACAGGACTGGTTTTGAGATGAACAGAAACGCCACCTGGCTGATGGAGCCCGCAGATCGGATGGTGAACTGCCGAGTTTACATAGGGTCCCAAGAAATCTCTTTGGTTTTTTTGTGCTTAAATTCAGTCCTTTGCGGATATCTGTTTGTTGGGAATTGAGCTTACCTTGTGTGACCGGGGTCCCAGTGGGGGCCAGCTAAGGTTACTCAATTAGGGTGAACTGCAAAGAATGGGGCAGACAAACCCCAAAGCTGGTGGATATTCCGATACTTAGATTTACCAAGCCAGCATAAAACAGCTTCTTTATTATCTTACTGGCTGCCCAAAACCCAAGAACACAGTTCCCTTAAAGCAAACCAGCCTCAAACCTCCATCCAGGTACCTAAGTCAAATATGATGAAGATTTCTGAAAATCATATAAAGAAAAGGTTCTACTAGTCCCAAAGGATCAGACACATTATCACCCAGGTTAATGAATTGTAAGCAGAGTCAGGATGAGCTCTACCCTGACATCTGGTGGTGAA